AATTGCACGTAAATGAGTTTTTAATTCCTCCCAAGGGGTAATTTCTCGTTGAAAAAGTTGCTATGATTATGACCCTGCGTAGGTCGCGTGCTTTGATAATACGCCAGTAGTCGCGCGGATTACAGTTGTAATCCATTTTTTTTTTTTTTTTTTGAATAGGTTCTAAGTCTATATTTAAAATTTAAATTATTGTTATATATCAAGTAAATATTGACAAATATATTGCGATGAAGAGAAAATTAAAATTTTTATTTTTTTACTTTAAAATATGAATTTTAACTTAAATGAGAATAAATAATAGTTTATTAGAATTTGTTTTCTTAAATTGTAATGATACTCAATGTAATTAAATTTTTATAATATTTCTGCATAAACATATTAATATTTAAGTATTTTACATATATTTTAGCTCTCCATATTAAGAGTTACAAAAAAAACAAGAATGCTTTATAGATTTTTACATGATAAAACTTTTAATCATAAAAAAAAAAATACATTTTGAAATAATTTAAGATGATTCTTCACTTTGTTCTTCATCACAACACCCAATACAAATATATTTTAAATGATCTGGACACACCCATTTGTAACAACGTTCACATGATTTTTCGTACTTTTGTTTCTTGCTCTTCCACACAAATAACATCGACCAATTCCCTTCGGACGTTCAAACAAAATAGGTGTATCTTCAACGAAACCTAAAATTTTCATACCACGACTCCTAATATGTTTTGGTTATTTTGAATTTTTTATACGTCTTTCAAGATTCGGTTTCATTAGTTGTAAAGCTAATGCTTCTAAAAAGTCTGATTTTTTAGATTTATTGTTGATATTGTTAAATTTATACACATTTAAAGCATTTATACATGATATATTAATTAGGTTAAAAAATATGGTAAGCGGCCAACGACGAGAATTTCTTGAAACGTCATATAGATTATATAGACTACACATTTGGTCTAATCTATCAACGCCATATTTAGTTTGGTTGTAAAATGTAATCATCTCTGGTTTTTGTTGATCTCCTGTGTCTTGATCGATAGAAGCGTTATTATGCAGAGTGGATAGCAGTATAACTATTTTATTTTTTTTCGGGACATATGAAGTGATTGTGCAATCTTTTTGGAAACCAAATAATGACGAATTTATTTTTCTATTTTTTGAAATTGAAAATTCTTTGCATTTTTTACGTCTACAATAGCGAATATTTTTATTCCGTAACGAGCGGGTTTATTTGGAATGTATTGTCTGAATGAACATCTACCGCGGAAAGCAATTAATTGTTCATCTAATGTTAAATATTCACTCGGAATAAAATAATTTTGAAAATTTTGTACTAGAACTTCAAAAAGTTCCCTTATAGGAGCCAATTTATCAATTTCGCTTCTTTCTGAGCGGTTGGTAAAATCGTCAAAACGCAAATTTCTAACTAAAATCTAAAACGTTTAACATTCATAGTTAGATACATAACCTCAAGTCCAGTTCCTTTGGAATCATCAAATAAATTAAATATATTTTGTCTATTAAATTTAGAAATTCCTGCAAGAATTAAAATACCAATCAAAGCTTTAATTTCAACATCATCAATTTCCCTAGCATCTCGAGCACGTTCATAATTTTCCTTCACAAAAGATATTTTTATATTTGTACTTTTGACGATAATATTTATTACAACTTCATCAAAAAAAAGAAAAAAACATTCTAAATGAGTTTTCATATTTTTTGCGGTCGATTTAGGACCAGGTAAATGAACAATTATATTATGAGAACGTGTTCGATGGGTACTGGTAGGTGCTTGCTTATTCCATCTATTTTTATCCTTCCCAAAAAAATATTTATTTTGTAATATTGGACCAACATCACCACTACTTGACCCACTTTAACTTTTATAGTCACTATTTTCCGTATCCATGTTTTCATTATTAATTTCTACCTGATCCCCCAATTCATCTTCACTGTCAATGTCATTTCCATCAATAAGGTCATTCTCATCTTCTTCTAGCCATTGTTCAATATCGATTATGTTGCTCATTTTTTTATTATTATTTTATAATTAATACGTAAATAAAAACTTTGATAATAAAATAAACTGAAAAAAAACGAGCGTGAAAGATCGCGCGGCATACAATGATAATCCAACACACTTTGAACTCCGATAACAACGACAAATTTTGGGACCAGTATTCGGAAACAAACTAATTATATTAAGCAACATGTTATTCGAAGGTACTGAAAAGATAAGATAATTTTATTGGTTTTCAATATACGAAAAAAACCATTTATTTTTAGACGGATTACAATAGTAATCCGCGCGACCTACGCAGGGTTGATGTCATCAGCGTACGTTGAATGCGGTATAACGGGAAGTGTTTGTCTGAAATCACCTGAAAGGAGTAACAGCGGGCCGCCAAATAGTTTGTTGTTGTTTTTTATATATTTTAATGTCCTGTTTAATGCCTCAAGCGAATATTTGTGTGCTTTCATCCCTGATGATAATTTTACACTGTTTCAGCACTGTGGCCATGGACGATTGTTGTTTATGTTGCACACTGCGTCTGAGTTATTTTGAATATTTAGTGACGGTTTAAATACTGAATGAGCTGTTCTGCTATAAAGTTCAATCCTGCTACAGCAAGCATACATTCGCACCGGTTGTCGTCTTCCAGCAAGCCGGGTGCAAGTCATGCATCTTTATTCGTTGGAAACTGTTGGCCATTCACTTTAATGATAATAGAATTCAGTCTGCCTTGGATTGACTATAAATACTCGACCCAAGATGTTTGATTCGAATAAACCGGGATATGCATCAATCGGTGTGTCTTGCTTGTGGAGCATCAATTTTTTCAGAGTCCATGTGATATATCATGGTACTTCTGAATAAAGTATTGTCTGTGCCAAATTACCAAAAGTATCTGTAAAAGTATATTACACAATTCAAAAAACTTGGTGAGTGTAGTTTTTGGTGGATTTATAGAACAATCAAAAGCTGTCTTGCTCATGAAATATACGTGCTGGCCGTTTTCAAAATGAATGGCTAAATGAAGAACTACTGGATATCGTTCATGAATTGGGAAACCAAAAATATGTAAAACAGCTTCATTGGAACTGACGTAAAGTGTTATTTCATCGTTGTTATTCACCGGAGGAGCATTCAAATTCGTATTTTCAACTCGAAACACTGCCGTTATTCACATACATGCAAATGTATTTCATGTTCTTCACTGAACTACAAAACTCAACATTAATATGAGCAACGCATATTTACTCAGTATATGGGACCACCCAATGGTTATAGTCATCAATGTCTATATTGTTGATATTTTTAACAAATGAATCTCCGCAATTATCTGTGTTTCTTCAACGATATATTGGATATCTGTCAACATTTGTGATTGTATCTTTAGTGAAAATTTTCGGAAAACTTTCAGTACATTTTTGGAGTAACCAAGATCACTACAAAATATCTTAAACTACTTTGTAACCTTTACCTTGAATTGTTTTCCTTGAGCGTTATCGAAAACAACTAGCTATTAAAATACTTTTATAATTGGAAACGGGTTATTAGTTAATATGTTAAAAAGGTACATTAGATAGTAAGAATATTAATATTATATTTGTTATATTAAC